CCTCCCCTCCCCTCCCCTCCCCTTTTCTTGGAGATAGAGTCTCCCCCTATTGTCAGGCTGCAGTACAATGGCGTGATCTCGGCTCACTCTGATCTCGGCAATCTCTGCCTCCTGGGTTCAAGAGATTTTCCTGCCTCAGCCTCCTGAGTAGCTGGGATTACAGAGACCTACCACCATGCCCGGCTCATTTTTTGTATTTTTAGTAGAGATGAGGTTTCACTATGTTGGCCAGGCTGGTCTCAAACTCCTGACCTCGTGATCAACCTGCCTTGGCTTCCCAAAGTGCTGGGATTACAGGTGTGAGCCAATGTGCCCGGCTGGTGGTCTTCTAAGAGAACATTTTAGACACAAAATGAGACCCCACAGATGTGCATATATAGATGAAATATCTGTGAAGTTCAGTGACAAGGCAGCCATCTATCGTAAACCAAGCAGAGAAGACTCAGGAGAAACCAAACCTGCCATCTCAATAGTCTTAATAATTTTATTTGTCAAAGTGTATTTTGTAAGTGAATTCCTCGAAACAACAAACCAGGCACTGGGGACTTGAAGCCTAGCTCACTTATGCCTGCCTCCCACCCTTCCCAAGGGGGGTTTTCTGCCATAGGCTCCCTCACACCCCACCCTAGTGCCACGTGTTCTGTTCCCAGATGGAACCAAGAGTGGGACTACTTATTCTCGTGTCCCTGTAATGAGATGCAGATGAACTGGGAAAGAAAGAGTTTATTTCTGTAACCCAGTACAGGGAGAAGACCGGGAAAATATCACCAGATCAACTCAAAATTACAAAGTTTTCCAGAATTCATACAGCTTTTAAGTTGTATGTTTACATTTAAGTGTGCGTTCATCTGAAGACATAAGTGATTAACTTCTAATCTATAACTAAGGTCTGAGTCTGGAAGACCTACCTCTGGGGTCTCCGTAAATTTACTTTATCTAGATGGGTCCAGGTGCCAGGTGCGATTACCTTTATCTTGTCTCCTGCTAAATCATGGAGGTTTGGGGAGTTCCTTTAGATCCCTAATAAAAATTGTTTGTGGAGACATGGGGAGTTTCTTCAGACCCCCAATAAAACTTGTTTAATTCTAAACAGGTGTTGTTAAGGATTCCTTCATTATCTCATCATGCTTCAAGGCCAAGGAAAGGCTAGGCAAAACTCTAAGTGGGCTTTTGTTACATTGCAGCCTTTGTATAGGGGGCACTGGCTGTACCACCTTTTAATATTTAACTTCATCACCCAGTCAGTGCTGAAACAGTGATGCAGGCCTCCTGTTCAGCTGTTAGTGAGACCTGGCTGGCCACAGTTCCACGTAGCATTCCTTTTCCCAGCTCAGTCTTCATCTACCTCATGTTCCCACCCACCCTTGACAAGAGTTCTGGGCGCAGCTGAGGAAGGGTTAGCCTCAGGTGCACGGCACTGCGTGATGTTGCTGGGCTGGGAGTGGAGTAAATAAATCCCCAGCCCCCCTTCCATTTGAAGTTGCATTTTGCTGGGCTGACTGAGCTTCTTGCTATCCACATCAAGGTACCAGGTAGGCCGTGGCACAGAGGTTGCTATCCTTTGGAAATCTTTGTCCCGCAGTGTTTGCTGTCCTTTGGAAATCTTTCACCTGCAGTGGGTTGGGACAACATGCTCCACAAAGAGGAGCGTCTTGACTTCATCTTAGCTTCTTCTGGCAGAAGCAGGGTGTATCAATTTACTTACTGAGTCTTAGACTTACCAAGAAATTTCAGTTAGCCCTGCCACTCAGTTTGGCCAAAGCAACTTACATAGCACATCAAATTTGAAATAAGAGCAGAGAAATGTAAGCCTACCATATTGCTGGAAAAAAGAGAACCCCAGGTGTTTGTTGACACTGTTTCCAGAAAGGAGCCCCGGTCAAGATCCAAAGAGAGGGTTCTTGGACTTCTGCAAGAAAGAATTCAGGGTGCGTCCATAAAGTGATAGCAAGTTATTAAGAAAGTAAAGGAATAAAAGAATGGCTACTTCACAGGCAGAACAATGGCATGGGCTGCTTGACCGAGTATACTTATAGTTGCTTCTTGATTATTTGCTAAACAAGGGGTGGATTATTCATGAGTTTTCCCGGAAAGGATGGGCCATTCCTGGAACTGAGGATTCCTCTCCTTTTTAGACCATATAGGGTAACTTCTGGGCATTGCTATGGCATCTGTAAATTGTTGGTGCTGGAGGAAGCATCTGTTAGCATGCTACTGCATTAGGGTTTGTGTGTGATGAGTAGTGAGGATGACCAGAGGTCACTTTCATCACCATCTTGGTTTTGGTGGATTTTGGTTGGCTTCTTTACTATACAACCTGTTTTATCAGCAAGGTCTTTCTGACCCGTATCTTTCACTGACCTCCTATCTCATCTTGTGAATAAGAATGCCTTAACTTTTGGGAATGCAATTCAGTTGGTCTCAACCTTATTTTACCCAGCCTCTATTTAAGATGGAGTCACTTTGGTTTGAATGCCTCTGACAACACAGTAAAAAGACAATCAAATTTTGTGGCCGTTATATTTCCTTCTACGATTAAAATATATCATTCAGGTGCATATCCTACTTTAGCAACCTGTGTAAACCTGCTTCATTTAAATGAGTCTGCTGTTAATGCTACCAAGTGTCAGGACTCTAACCTTAGATGGCTGAGAAACCCAACTTTATAAATCAGTCAAGGTGTTGGTTCTCCAAGTACTGTTTACAAACCCCTAGGTGTCCCTGAAACTCTTTTAGGAGCTCTGTAGCAGTCACAGTAACACTAAAACATTATCTGCTTTTTACCCTCCGTGATATTTTCTGTAATGGTAAGAAAACAACCATGGGTAAAACTACTGGTAGCTTAACATGAATCAAGATATTAGAACCAACGGCAGTAACACAATTATATTCTTAGCTCCATGCTCTGACAGAAAAAAAAAGTGAGAGCATGATTGCGGCATTATATAAAATATATTTGTGTTTCTGTCCCTAGTTTCCAACACAGAGAGCCCAAAACACTTGGAATTTCCTGGGTGGTAGGAATGGTTTTTGTTATCCATAATGTGCCCCTTTTGATATAAATTTATACTAATGAAGTGACTTAGGGTGAAGCCCCTACAAAGCGTCAGGATGGGGTCATCATCAGAATGACCCAGGGATTAGAGAATTTAATGATTGAAATTTGCAGCCCACCCACCAACCTCCAGGAAAGGTGGGGTAGAAGGCTGTATATTAAGTTCTATAAAAACTCCTGAAGGGTGAGATCTGATGAGCTTCTGGGTTGCTGAACCCATGGAGCAGAGGTGCTGGGCTGTGGCACACCCAGAGAGCATGGAAGCTCTCTACCACCCCAGACCTTGCCCTAACCATTTCTTCATTGGGCTGTTTATCTGTATTCTTTGTAATTTCCCTCATAATAAAATGGTAAACATAAGTGTTTCCCTGAGTTTTGTGAGCTGTTCTAGCAAACTATTCAAACCCAAAGAAGAGGTTACATGAACTCTGGCTTGTAGCCAGTCTGATAAGTAGCCAGTCTTGGGGTTAGAAGGTGGTATCTGACACTACCTCCAGGTAGATGATGTCAGAATTGAACTGAATTATAGGATAGTCTCAGAGCCCAGGTAGAGAAACTGCTGCAGGTATAGAGACACTGCAGAGAATTTTCATTAGGGCAATGCCTACAGGAACCAGAAGAGTGGGGCCACTTCTCAGACCCCAGAACTGTAGTAACACCAGCATGCAATGCCCGTTTGGGAAGGCTGCAGGCGTATGACTTCAATGTGTGGGAGAAAGTATGGGCTGCACACAGCAAAACCATGTGGGTAAAGCTGAGTGAAGCCTCAGGGGCCCAACTCCTCCCACCCCAGTGTGTCTAGGTGGCAAGACATGCAATTAAATATATATAATATGTATTTTCAAGCCTTAGGATTTACAATTGTTGCCATGTTGGTTTTTGTACTTACTTGGAACCTGACACGTCTTTCTTTTTTCCCCATTTCTCCCTTTTGGAATGGGAATATCTACCCTATGCCTGTCCCACTAATGCATTTTGGAAGTATATAACTTGTTTAATTTACAAAACAGCTGTAGTAAAATTTGAGCCTGAGAAATGTTAAGATTTTTGGGGCTACTAGGATAGAATAAAATATGAGAAGAACATGAATTTTGGGGGCCAGGGGTAGAAAGCTATAATCTGAATGTGTCCTCCAAATTTCAGTCATTGGAAACTTAATTTCCAATGCAACAGCATTGGGAAGTGTTTAGGTTGGAAGGTCTTTGCCTTCATATGGATTAATGCCACTATTGAAAGGGCTTTAGGAAGTCGATTCATACTTGCCCCTCCACTACCTGCCATGTGAGGATACAGAGGGAAAGCCCTCAACCAGATGTCAGCACCATAGATCTTGGGCTTCTTAGCATTCAGATCTGTAAGAAATAAATTTCCGATCTTTCTAAATCACCCAGTCTCAGGTATTCTGTTAGAACAGCACAAAATGGACTGAGACGGTGTCTACTAAGGAATTGCTTGGTCTGTGGCAAAAAACCCAAACACATCTGCTCACAGAAGAGGTCTGTAATGAGCTTTAATAATACAGGAGTACCTGTTTTTTCCTCACAGAATGATGAAATAGTAACAATTTTTAATTTTATTACTTCTTGACCCTTGAGTACATATCTTTGTAATATTTATTGTGATACAATAGGAAATATGCAAAACACTTTTATTTCATAATGGTTGCTCCCAGGAGAATCACTGGCAATTGTTTGTGTTGTAAGCTAAATATTTGCTTTTTTTCACTGAATACAATTATATACCTGAAAAAAATGACAGGTTGACAGACTACGTTTATTGAGAATTGGGTATTTGTGAAACACTTCTTCATGATTAAATAATGTGAGCCTGTCACTTCATAAAAAACAGGTAACATTGGTTTTTGCCAATAATAAAAGTTGAGCATTCAAGTGAAAATTAAAATTTTAGAAAACATGTGTCTGCTCCCATGAGTTTGAGAGTTTCACAGTAAAAACATTTCTGATGAGATTGGATATGATATTAATAAATATGATTTTAAACATTATATAATGTTTAAACATTTGTGTAAACATTTGTAGTGTTTTAATAAGTCAGCGAACAAACACATTTCAAATGACCAATAAGTGATGTTACAAAATCATGAGAAGGTAAAACATATTTTCACAGAGTATGGTGAATTTATAAGATTTTAATGCAACACAGTGTAAATAGTTCATTGATAAAGTTTTGGATTCTACATTGCAACTAAAGAGGCCACGATTTGACAAGTTTTGGTGTAGTATGAAAGAAGAGTATCTACAAGTTTCCGAAAAGCAATTAACGTACTTATTTTCTCCTAACTACATATTTGCATGAGCCTAAATTGTCTTCACATACTTCAACCAATACACCATATTCACAAAGATTAAATGCAGAAGTGGATATGGGAATTCAGCTGTTATTTTATTTTATTAAGCCAGATGTCAAAGAGAATTAAAAATATACAAGACAATGTCACTCTTTTCACTAATTTATTTTTTATTCTGGAAAATAATTATTATGTACCCAAGTATTTATATTTGCATGTAATACAGTTATTATTTTAACATGAATTAATACACGTGTTTTAAAATTCAGTGGCAGTTTTCAATACAATTAATATTGATATTTATAAACTACATATATTATAGCCATTGCATTTTTTTCAATATTTTTCATGAGAGTAAAGGAGCCCTGAGGCTAAAAGTTTGAGAACTGCTGAAAGTAATGTATCTATGAAGAGACATTTTAAAGAAAACT